TACTGTTCTTCTTCTACCGTCAAGGGGTCCTCCTTGATTTCCTGTGTGACCCTAACATTCTGATTAGAGTTATTTCCGCGGTTTGAGGAGTTTTGGGCTTCTTGCGGTGTGGTGTTGTTGTGATAATAGCCACGGTTATTGTAATTACCACGTCCACCACCACGGTTTCCTCTACCCCGGTATGTGTTATTTCCTCGGGAATTGTTATGGTAATACCGATTATTATAAAATAATACGGCGTTTGATTGTCCTGTTGCTTCTGTACAACTGTTGACACATTTAGTTACGGCTTCGGTTATGTTTGTGAACGTTCCCGCCTGCATGATAAGTTTTACCTTATCAATTGAGCAGTTTGTTGTCATTGCCTTCACTGCATTTTGGGTGCTATATTTAGATGCTAATTCTAATGATAAACCATCGTTTATATAAGCCCCTTGTAATGCTCTGGTCAAATCTTCTACTTCTTTGGCATATGCATTTGCCGTTTTGTTTTTCTGCTGTAAATTCATAAGTTTGGCTGATAGAACTTCAACCGACTCCCCTTTGACTGATTTACTCAGCTTTGCCACAATTGTTGCTATTGTGTTTTCCTCTCCAATGAGGTTGCGAGCATGTCCTTTTAATTTTGTCTTTATTAGTTGGACTACATCTATGAAACTTCGTAGATTTTCTGCTTTGCCATCAAACTCAGGATTGGACATTGGTTTGGGCCATTGTTGTCTCTTCCAAGTCCTCAGCTATGTTATTAATGTTTGCTGGATCCACCTTTACTTCTGTTTTGCAGACTTCTAATGGGCTTTCGAGCCCTAAGAAATCTTCACTGGTATCTTCTTTAAAAATATCAGCCAATGAATTATCGTGGACGTCTGTGTAAGCAATTGTTATATTTGCCTCTATTGGTTCTTTAAAGTTCTCTGGTATATGGAAAACAATCTCATACTTTTGGAGAGCTTTTCTTACAATAGATATAATCTGGTTATGTATAAGTATTACTTGACTTTCATGACAAGTAGATACTGATTCTCGACTTACTGCTATCGCTCTTCTTACTTTGTTGGCGTTAATGATAATTTCGCCCAAATGTTTTTCGAGCGTTTCTTTTCTTATGTGTGTATTTTTATTAACACACTTATAACTTCTGTAAGGATGTTTTCTGGGCCGGGGTACAGATCTCAGTCGAGTACCAGGGTCCTTTACAAGAATATTTGTAATTCACCGAAACGCAGGACAAGGGGGAAACGTCCCACAGGGGAAACGGATGATTTTGAGGGCCGAGTCTTCACCGGAGGCGAGGGAGGTAGGATCCGTAGACGACCTCTCCAGTACGGAACGCAATCCTCGGGTTACGATGTGTGTTTCGTGTGCGGGACGAAAAATCCACCGGGCTGGACCTTCGGCCGAGACCAAGCCGGGAGAATACTTTGCGGATGTGGGAGCAGGGTGGCTGGATTGGCGGATCCGGCGGGAAGCGCGTCCACGCTCGAGTCCCCAAACTACGGAGGAGGCGGGAGTTTTCGTGGGCAAATCAGGCGGGAAGGGTGTCCGCGCTCGAATCCCCAAACTACAGAGGAGATGGGGGAGTTAGTAGGCAGATCCGGCGGGAAGGGTGTCCGCGCTCGAATCCCCGGACTACGGAGGAGGTGGGAGAGTTAGTAGGCAGATCCGGCGGGAAGGGTGTCCGCGCTCGAATCCCCGGACTACAGAGGAGGTGGGAGAGTTAGTAGGCAGATCCGGCGGGAAGGGTGTCCACGCTCAAATCCCCGGACTACAGAGGAGGTGGGAGAGTTAGTAGGCAGAGCCGGCGGGAAGGGTGTCCGCGCTCGAATCCCCGGACTACAGAGGAGGTGGGAGAGTTAGTAGGCAAATCCGGCGGGAAGGGTGTCCACGCTCGAATCCCCGGACTACAGAGGAGGTGGGAGAGTTAGTAGGCAGAGCCGGCGGGAAGGGTGTCCGCGCTCAAATCCCCGGACTACAGAGGAGGTGGGAGAGTTAGTAGGCAGTTTCGGCGGGAAGGTTGTCCGCGCTCGAATCCCCGAACTACAGAGGTGGTGGGGAGGGGTTAGGTTTGATCCTGGTCTACGCAGGAAAAACGCACACTTCGTATATATTTCACAATTTATTCCGTATCACTTCAATAGAGTCAGCTACACCGTCGTAAACACGTGTGAGCCTGGTCGTACTAACCTCGACTATCTTGCTTTCAAAATGCTCGTTTACAAACGCCCGCGAAACACCGCGTGGGTCTTGGCTAACCCTCACTGTCGGAACATGTTGGCGATCTGCCGCTGTCGATCTCCCGGGCGCTGCAGTCGTACCAGATTCGGAGAGGTGAAATTCACTCAGCCGCTTTCGATAAGGGATGTTGTCGCAGCCATACCTGACTCTTGAGCGCCGGTCGCCATTCGCGTCTCCGCGGTACATGCCAGGCCAGAAATATCTCTGTGACAGGCGGGTGACCGTCTTTCGGACCCCCCAAGTGTCCTGCGGTCGGGGAATCGTGGCATTCATATAAGACGCGAGCTCTGTGGGGAGTGCGCACGCAGAGCTTCCACGGGAAGTAGTCCTCGTCGTCCGCTCGGTGACCCATGTTCCTATAGAACTTCTCAGGCTCGTCGCGCACCTTCTCTTTCATCTTCTTGATCCATTCGCACTGGTCCTCGAGCTCAACCGCTCCTTGGAGTACGTCGCGGGGCTGTCGCGAAAGTGTATCGGCTACGGCGTTCAGACTCCCTCGTCGGTAGCGCACGTCAAATTGGAACTGTTGAAGTTCCAATGCCCAGCGCGCTATTCGGCCGGAAGGACTCTCGATGGAATTTTACCATTTGAGGGCCAAATGGTCGGTAACGACCTCAAATCGGTAGCCCTCCAGGTAACACCGCATCTTCCTGATGGCCCAGATAATGGCCAGACACTCTTTCTCGGTCGTCGTGTAATTAAGTTCCGCGGGGGTTAGTCGGCGGCTGGCGAATGTGACGACCTTCTCTTGTCCCTCGATGCCCTGAGATAACACCGCTCCCAAGCCGACGTCACTCGCGTCAGTCTGCAAAATGAACTTTTGGTCGAAATCCGGACAACCCAACACGGGGGTAGTGGTCAGGCATCTTCTAATTTCTTCCAATGCAGCTTGCTGTTCCGGTCCGGTTCAGCAGCGCGGTGACTGGTTGTACGATGGTCGCGAAATTAGGAACGAATCTCCGATACCTGGATGCCATCCCGATCCATTGGCGGAGTTCCTTTAGGTTGGTGGGCGCCTTCAACCCCTTAATCGCGGATACCTTCTCTGGGTCTGCCTGGGCTCCTTCGCCGTGTTCTTCCGCCTCCGTCCCGGCAGATGTCTCGGTTGGTATTGTCGTGGCTCGTTCCGGCGTGGTGCCGGGAATCTCCGCTTCTCCTTGTCTGGCAGTCCCCAATTGGACTCTAGACTCGACAGGCTGTACTGCTTTTCCTCGTTGTCCAGCAGCCCCCGATTGGGCTCTAAGCTGGACAAGGTGTACTGCTTCTCCTCGTTCGTCTCCCCGGGGCATGAATACCGGGGTTAACAACTGCTCTCCTACTACTTGGGATTCCGGCCGCAAATAGAGGGTGGCTTGCCCGCATTGCAAGCGCGTTCCTGTTGCTTCAAGGTGGGCATCACCAACATGGGTAATTGTAGGGGAGACCGGGGGTCGTGAGACACGGGGGGTCGTGAGACGCGCTTACAGCCCTGAACTAAAAAGCGCGACATCTACCAGCTGACTGTGAAACTTCTTGCTTGTTTCCAATCTTCATTTCCACATCACAAATATTCCGCTCATGCCGATTCTTTATGTCTTCCCAAATGGCAACTCCAATTTTGTGATCGAAAGTTTTGTAGACCATTCGTTTTTGCTGTCTTTTCGCTTTGTTTTACAAGCTATTTGCGAGAGTGCATACATCCGAAACATTCCTTGGTGAGTAGCCTTTTGACACCCGGAACAAATTTTGCATAAACATTTAATGCATCCGTAAAGCAGAAGCCATATTTAAAATATAGCTATTGGGGGGGTCGTGAGACAACGTTCTCGGGGGGTTATGAGACATTCTATTACCGCGTCATCTAGGAACATAAAATTGTATTTTATAGCCTGATATAGTGTTTCTGTACACAACCAAAACGTTTAATGATAATTTTGATATTTTTGATTGATTCAGTGTTTTTGATGATCGTTTTTTCTTTCTTTAGTCATCATGGTGCGTCATAAGTATAGTCAGACTGCCAAATCTGCGATTGATGTCAATGTTTTTGTGGCTGCTATAAAAGAGGTTGCTATCGAGAAAAAGCGGCTACGGTCCGTTGGTAGATCATATAATATATATATTATAATTGTATATATATAATTATTAAAGATTAAAATAAAAAATTTTGATAAAATTAAGCCATTTTCATTCTTATAAATTTGTGTCTCACAACCCCCCGAACATTGCGAAAATCCATAAAAAACAACTTTTGAGCAGGCTGGGAAAACTTGAAGGTCGAACTAAAATTTCAACTAATTATACTCTTGTCTGAGTGAAATTACACTGAACTATGATTAAAAAATTTGTACGGGCAGAAAAATGGCTTTTCTATTATATTTTTTGTCAAAAAACAAAACCCGTCTCAAAACCCCCCCGGTCTCCCCTACTGTGGTTCCCGCCAACGTGATCGGGGTTCGCCACGACTTCGTCACGTCCAGACATGACCGATCGGCGTATCGGCGGGGGCGTCTACCCACTTTCCTGCGATTTTGGTCGCGGCCGTGATGAGCCCACCGTGTATTCTTAACGGGGGTTTGGTTGGGGTCGGGTCGCTGCTTCGTGTGTCTCCGCCGTACCCGAATTCCGACGAAGACTTTCTCCGTTTCCCGAGGCATTCCGGCGGCAGCATCCTATAGTTAGAACTCCTACTCGGCCGCAGTCCCAACAGAAGTCGCGGCGTGGGTTGCGGCAGTCTCGGCGGAAGTGTCCGTTCTCGCAGCAGCGGCCGCAGGCCTGCTGCGCGTCTATTCGGGGGTCCCTTGCCCGATCATCCGGTGAGTCGCGTATTCTGTCGGCATGATAGGCTCCGAGTCCCGGAAGGGGTTTGGCAGCCGTCGAATTCGCGATCCCTCGTCGTTTCCGGTCGTCATTACTGGGGCTTCACTTCGAGTCGGTTCGAGTTGCTTGATACTCTCATACTCGGTAGCCATGTAGGTCAACTGTTTCAGCGTCGTGAACTCGTTGCGCTTGATATACAGTCGGTACTCTGGGGCCATGTTTTCATATGCTCGGTATAGCTCTTCCTCTTCTCGGTATCCGGCCTGCTGCATCTTCGTCCTGAGCTCGATCATATATGTCTTGAAAGGCTCTCCTTTTCTTTGCACGTGCGTCCGTATCTCGTCCTCTAATCTTTCGAAGTACCGAGGAGGTAAGAAGAAATCTAGAAATTCCTTCCGGAAAGTTCCCCAAGAGGCGGACTGTAGATGGCTAGTGCGAAACCACCGTGCCGCCGGGCCCTCAAGGATTTCGGACATAGTCCGGGGAATCTCTTCCGGGTTTATCCTGTACGTCGTCATCTTCTCCTCGAGTGCGGCTATGAGCGTCAACGGGTCTGTGCTACCGTCGAACCGTAGGTTCCACTTATGGATCTTCTCGGGGATCAAATGCTGGGTGGAAGTCGTATTACTTCGGGCCTCCTGTCCCCGTGGATCCGTGACCACGCGGGGAGCTGTCGGCGGCACCAGGAGGCCGGGGTGTTACGGGGTGTTCCGGGGTGTACCCCTCGATAACGTGCTGGAATCTCGATCGGCACAGCGTCAGAGACGGTAGGGACCCGGAGGGACTCCGTAAATTGGTCGGTCTCGTCCTTCTTCCATGTTGGGACAGGACTCGGGGCCCGACTGCTATACCGTTCCTGCAGCTCGGCCAGTCGATTCCACACTCGTTGTGGAAAGGATCCTGAACTGACCAGGTTGGCGAACGCCTTCCTGACCTCTTCGACGGTACCGTCAGCTTTAAAGCCGAACTCGACGGCAAGGGAGTTGAGCTCGTCTCTTCGGCGGGCATAAATCCAGCGAACTCCTACACCAGGGTTTTTGATAAAATCGGCTTCTTCGTACTCGCCGTCTGATCCCTTAGGAGTACTCATCGTGTTGTCTTCCAGGGCGTACCTCTTACTTATATCCTCCTATTTCCTCCTGGCGGGTCGTCGCGTCTCCGGGTGACTCTTCCTGTCTTTTAAGTGGGTCTTTAGGCCACTTCGGTAAATCCCTAGCTAGTCTCGGTGTTCCTGCTCGGGCGCCACTTGTAAGGATGTTTTCTGGGCCGGGGTACAGATCTCAGTCGAGTACCAGGGTCCTTTACAAGAATATTTGTAATTCACCGAAACGCCGGACAAGGGGGAAACGTCCCACAGGGGAAACGGATGATTTTGAGGGCCGAGTCTTCACCGGAGGCGAGGGAGGTAGGATCCGTAGACGACCTCTCCAGTACGGAACGCAATCCTCGGGTTACGATGTGTGTTTCGTGTGCGGGACGACAAATCCACCGGGCTGGACCTTCGGCCGAGGCCAAGCCGGAAGAATACTTTGCAGGCACAAGAGTCTTGAGTTTTCGCGTCGGAGGCGAAAAATTCGCAGGGCTGGACCTTCGGGCGAGGCCAAGCCGGAAGAATACTTTGCAGGCACAAGAGTCTTGAGTTTTCGCGTCGGAGGCGAAAAATTCACAGGGCTGGACCTTCGGGCGAGGCCAAGCCGGAAGAATACTTTGCAGGCACAAGAGTTTTGAGTTTTCGCGTCGGAGGCGAAAAATTCACAGGGCTGGACCTTCGGCCGAGGCCAAGCCGGGAGAATACTTTGCGGATGTGGGAGCAGGGTGGCTGGATTGGCGGATCCGGCGGGAAGCGCGTCCACGCTCGAGTCCCCAAACTACGGAGGAGGCGGGAGAGTTAGTAGGCAGATCCGGCGGGAAGGGTGTCCACGCTCGAATCCCCGGACTACAGAGGAGGTGGGAGAGTTAGTAGGCAGATCCGGCGGGAAGGTTGTCCGCGCTCGAATCCCCGAACTACAGAGGTGGGGGGGGAGGGGTTAGGTTTGATCCTGGTCTACGCAGGAAAAACGCACACTTCGTATATATTTCACAATTTATTCCGTATCACTTCAATAGAGTCAGCTACACCGTCGTAAACACGTGTGAGCCTGGTCGTACTAACCTCGACTATCTTGCTTTCAAAATGCTCTGAGCCTCGTTTATAAACGCCCGCGAAACACCGCGTGGGTCTTGGCTAACCCTCACTGTCGGAACGAATTCTACCAGGAGCCCGAGGACGGTCGCGTTAGGCGTCGAAGATGGCCTATCCCGCGATCCTCTGCCGGCGAGGAAGAAAACTCGAGGAGCTCACGTCTGCTCCGTACCACGATCCCGGAAGCCAAGAGGAGTTCGAGAGGCATACGTCCGCCCCGTTCCGCGAACCCGAGAGAAGGGATCGAGGAAACCACGCTCCCTCTCTGCGTGACCCTCTTCCCCCTTTTTCCCGCATTCGGGATTTCTGGTATTTTCCTACTGTCGAAATCCTAACTCCTTTGCTTATCTAGTATTTAAGGTGTCTCGGCTAAATATCGGTAGGCGTTGCTACCCCGGACTTGGATCTTAGATGTAACTTCTTTATAGTGGTTGTAACTTAATATTTAATATAATTCACGATAAGTCTCTTAAGACTAACTTGGTTATGGTTATGATTGTGGCGTACCCGCCTTCTAGGTGGGTTCGTCACACTTCTCAAAATCTCGGTCTTTTTATTAGCCAAGAATTTTTCTAGTCTTAACCATTGGCTACTCATTAGCCTGATTAGCAATATTTAAGCTGATATTGAGTTGTATATTTCCTGCCAGCATTTCGTTGCGGTCTAGGACAGATTCTACTTTTACTTGAGGAATAGTTGATAGTATTATTGCCTTTTGTGTGCTTGAGCAGCTTATCTATGGTGAAAACCGTAAGCCAAACTCTTCCATGTACTTATATTCGAAATCATATATTGTAATTGGCTTATTATGTTTTCCTAAAATGAACTTACTTCTGTTAACGAACTCTGGGTGTTCTATAATTACCTTCTCTAAAGCATCCTTAGTTGTAGACATTTCCCTGTACCGCTATGCTAAAATTTATCCCTTAGATTTAAAAGCTTGTATTTAATATTTAAATTCTTTGATAAAAATATGAGTAATTTATTATTTATTTATTTATTGTACTCTGCACTCAAAAGTTGCAAACTTTAGGTACAGACGGGAATCGGCCATAACAGTGGTGACTTTCGGCCGGAGTGTGTGTTACATATTTGCTTAAATATTAAACTTATAACAAATATTTACGAATATATTAACAAGTTATTTACAGTTTACATGAGTTTTTGGTTTATAAAAGATGCAAAAGGTTAGCTGATTTTAGGAAGTTTATAATTAGCTGGAGGTTTGCAGGATTAGGGTCTACTAACAGTTCCGTGAGTTTAATGTTTGGAGAATTTGTTCTATGTGTTTGTAGTGCGGTACAGTCGTCAAGGATATGGGAGATAGATATGTGGTCCGTGGTGCAGAACTGGCATTGGTAGTTTGGTGGTTGTGAAAAGCGATGTTTGTGGGTGAGCCTGGTGTGGCCAAGTCGAAGCCGGATTATTTTAGTGATCTCTCTTCTTGGTAGGTTGGCGGTCTGTGAAGTTTTAGTGTAGTCAGCTATGCTTTTTGCTTCAGGATTGATTTGTTGATACCACAACATTTTAGGTTTATTTTTGAGGGACTCAGTTTTTATTTGTTTGTTAATGTCTCTACGGTTTACATTTGTTGCAGTGAGTAGTGGAGCGATGGTCGCTCCTTTCGCTGCTGCATCGGCTATTTCGTTGCCTTTGATTCCGACGTGGCTGGGGACCCATAGGAGCTTGATTTTGTTTTTATATTTTATCAGTAGGTCACGGATAGATGTTACATAAAAGCTGGAATTGTTTATGTTTGCTAATGCTTCCAATGTGGATAGGGAATTTGAGCAGATGCAAAATTTCCCTCTAATCTTGGCTGCTATTTTGATGGCTTCAAGAATAGCAATCGCCTCTGCCGTATAAATTGTTGAATAGCTTGGAAGGACAGCTTGTTTTAGTGTTTCATCTTCTGTCGTTACTGCAAAGCCAATTATTTTCTTGCTCAAGGATCCGTCTGTGAACAGAAGCGTGAAGTTGTTGCTCATGAGCTGGTGTTTAATATCCAAAAATTGTTGGACAAATATGTCCTTGTTTGTGTCAGATTATTTTAGGCGGCTGAGTCGGGTATCTATCAGATTGATATCTAGAAACCAGGGCGGTAATGTTGGCTTAGGCTTATGAGGAAGAGAGGTAGGAAGTTCTAGCTTTAGACTTAGGGAAATGCAGCGGTTGACGGTTGAGGATCGGTATTTTTATACCCTTGCAGAGCAAAGGGTATTATAATTTCAGTCAGAAGTTTGCAACGCAGTGAAGGAGCCACCTCAGACCCTATAAAGTATATATATTCTTGATCAGCATCACGATCTGAATCGAAATCCATCTGTACGTCTGTCCGTCTGTCTGTTTCCCTTCAAACTAGTCTCTCAGTTTTAAAGCTATCTTGCTGAAACTTTCCCAAAAGGTGTGTAGTTATTGCACGCAGTATATAAGTCGGAACGGACCGACTATATCGGATAGCTCCCATACGAGAGATTGAAAAAAAAAAATTTCACTCCGTTGTTTTTGATCAGATCGACTTGATTTCTTCCAGATGGCATTTTATAACTACTATTGAATTTCGGTTTAAATTTTATCGAAATCGGATAACTCTATCATATAGCTCCTGTGGGAACCTGCAGCGAAGAGCGAGGGCGATGGCGGTAGCAGCGACGTCAGCGCCGAAGTCAACGATTGATTCAATATTTCTCTATATTATGTTCTAGTAGTGTGACACGTACGATCGATGGACCAGCATCGCCGGTCCAGAAATAAAGTGCAAAAGTGCAAAATAACATAAACCAAATAACACATATATTCATTCTAAAAGGGAGTGATTCTTGGGTCATTACATTGGCGACGAGGTAAAACTACAAAAAAAAAAAAAAAAAAAAAACAGTAACCAATATTTAAATTAAATATGTACATACATATATTTGCAAGACGACATTTCGTGATATTGCGGTACTTGGTACAAATGCATGTGTCGTTTTTTTTTTCTTTCGTCCTCTGTCTTCTTGTGTTCTACTTGTTCCTCTGCTCTTATTGTGCCCTACCACTGCCAACATATAATAAATGCTCACGTTGAGGGTGGTAAGGTAAACGATGATAATCATGATAGTAAGCGGAAGACCAACTTCTAATAAAGAGAGAGTGCAGAGAGAGAGAGTTGATCACAATTCAAAATAACTTAAGCCTAATTAAGAGAGTGACTGAGTAACAGTTGGTTGCAAGTCAAGAGAACCAATAAAAAAAAAAAAAAGAAGAGAAAAAGAACAGAGACACATAAGCGTAATTAAAAGAGTGACTGAGTAACAGTTGGTTGCAAGTCAAAAGAATCATTAATGGAAAAAATGAAATAAATAAAATTCTTAACCGAGCAACAGTACGTTGCAAGTTGAAAGAAAAAAACCTATTAAACAGAGAAATAGTCTGTTTGTACAGAGGCAGTTAGCCTTGTAATAAGCTGACATGGTCAGAGGCAGTTTGCCGAAATAATGAATAAATGAAATTTTGGTTTTTTGTATCATTTTCAGAATTCGCAGGGAAAGGAAAATGGGTGAAAATGTACTCAAACCTTTCCTGTGCGATACCATTGAAAAATCACTGCTACGAAACGAGTGGGAAAGATGGTTTCGCGCATTTCAAATATATATCGATGCTGAAGAGATTGAAACACCTACCAGGAAACGAAATAAGTTGCTTCACTTGGGAGGCGTGCAACTGCAAACGGTTGCCTTCTCCTTACCCGATGCTCTGGTAGACCCGGATAACAACAAAGAAGTCGACGTATTTTTGGTGCTGGTGGAAAAGCTAAATGATTATTTCTTACCGAAACAAAACTCAACCTTCGAACGGCATATGTTTAGGAACCTTTTACCTTTGGAAGGTGAGAGTTTACAAAATTTACGATTCGGTTACGTCAGCAA